AAAGCTCGGATCGAACTTCTCCAATATTGGTCGTCCGACAAAAGGCCATTGAAGTTTCGTTTTCCAACAGGCTAATAGATAGTCACGCGTGGAACGAATCTATCGGAATGTAACTTCGTTATCTACTATCGAGAGGTAGATATTTCAGTGTACCTTGTTGAAGCAAACAACGAAACCCCGCTCATCAGTTTCAGTCTCTATGAAATTTAATATTTTGCGCTGCAATTAATTTGACTGAAAGCTTCCGCTCTGTGTGCACGGTGAAATTCTTCGATCATTAATATTCGTAGCTAATTAGTTTAACAAAATACCAAATTTACACGCAGGAATATTCGACGTACGCGGAAACCTACACGCGCGTCTATTTTTTATTTCTCGAAGCTTTATTCGCGGAGCGCAGATGTTTTTCCATGTCAGTGATTCGCTTAGGTACAACGCATACGTGAGAGAAATCGCGATACAAGAAACGAACAGCACGAGTTTATCATAGATCCAGTCTCTTTAATCCCTGCCTTTTTGATCTCGTATATTCATGAGCCACAAAGTATAAGCTTATTATTTTAACCGGGAAGTACGATCCGTGGCAAAAATGCCTGGAACTCGGCCAGCAAAATTTCCAGCACGGATTTCTTGAGAAATATTTAACTATAAATCGCAAACATTGATGCTGGGTAATATGTGCCACTGTACACTTACGCAACAAAATTTCATCAGCATATAAAGTATACAGTTAACACGAAGTTCTCGCACACGAAAGATTAGAGCCTGTCAAAATTTCATTCGAAGATATAAAGGCTTTCGAACAGCGAAAAGCAACGAGTTTGTTAGTCGATGCAATTTGACGCTTGTTCGACAAACTTTCGGAAAACTTCCCGCTGGCAAACTAATTTCATGCCTTATCGTCATCGAGTTCGAAGCAGAGACGCGTTTACTTTTGTTCTCGCTTCTATCGCGGCTCTCTGATTCTACGCGACTTCCTCGTTAAACTTTGAATTCCAAAATAGGCGTCCAACTAAGCAGGCAACTCGGTTCAGCTTATTAAAAGATTCAAATTCGCTGTCAATATTGCGCGATAACAATGTATCACACCCGCTGCACGAAATACGGTAGAATACTAATTACGTCGAACTCGCAATTACTCCGGAAAATTTATTCCATGCGCAGTCAAGTTACATCCAGCGTTAATTCTCTATGCACCAAAAATTTCCACCTTTCCGAATCATCTCCGAAAGAAAAATATGCGACTCCAGGGGATCCGCAACAGAATTCGGTATTCAAACAGCAAGCAGTATGAAATTCAGTTCGAAATTTTCGCGGAGAAAAGGGTATAAGAATTCATGCTTGACGTGTTTCCTTTAGGCAGGCGTTTTTCAATTTCGTGCGGAAACGTTCGTGCGTGGGTCCGATAAAGCAACACGGGAACAAGAACGGCTACATGAAAGCTCGTTATCGGCATCAATTTCGAAATATCGGAAATCTTAGCGTGTCCTAGTCGTGTTTGGCTGGCACGTAGGTCGACGCCTTTCACCTGGAGACAAACGTTTACCTGGCTGCCAGTTGCTCGACACCCGCGATCTAACCCCCTTTTGTTCCTCCGGATTTCGTGTGCACACATGCCGGGACACCCTTATCGCTCGACTTTATCATGGCAACCGCAAGTTATGCCTGCCAGGACCTTACAGCGCCACCGGTTTTACGGGCTGTAATTGTCGGCTACCTCTGATACGCTCGCTGCTACTGAAATTAGGTGCTGTCCGATTCGACCCGGAACCTACTCGAGAAACAATGAATTCGTTTGACTGTTAATTCCTTCTCCCATATTTTATTAACGCAAGTTTCTTCAGGTTTTAAGAGGGGTATAGGAGCTTGGAAGGTTAGGAAGATTGACGCTTTTCTAGCTATTAACGCAAGTGAGATACGCTTCTTCAGCTTTTGTTTATTATTGTGGGCGTCGACTGTTGTCATTAGCAGGTTTTCAGCTTTTACTTCAATAAGAGAGGTATAGGAGCTTGCAAGATTAGGAAGATTGTTTGACGCTTTTCTAGCTATTAACGCAAGTGAGATACGCTTCTTCAGCTTTTGTTTATTATTGTGGGCGTTGACTGCTGTCATTAGCCCTCTTCAGCTTTTACTGCAATAAGAGAGGCATAGGAGCTTGCAAGATTAAGAAGATTGTTAGACGCTTTTCTAGCTGTTAAGCTCCTAATTTCGATACCCCATTCGTAGACTCCGAAGAAATCGAATGCTAAACCTTGTCACTTTATCACCTTGCAGCTTCCAATTTCACAATATAACTCTATTGGAACCGATACCCACATAATTCCTCCGCCGCGCATACAAAAACTCAACTATGATCCAGTAAACAATCCTCCCTAGATCGTTACAAGGAACAATTTATTTCCGTTGGAGGCAATCGGGTCGTATTTATTTTCAATTTATTTGGTGTTTTCTAGTAGTGGCTTGCGGTTAACAAAAGAGGCAACTAGATCGAGAAGGGGCGAGAGCGATTCGCGGTTGGTTCGACAGGTCGCCTTTCATCGAACGATCGAGTCTCCCGGCATGGCGTCGTTATCGGTTTGGGTTCACGTGCTGGGCGTAGCTGATGAATGGCTCCGCGTCTGCAAAGGCACGCTCGTCACGCGAAACGTTATTTATAACTTTGGCTTGGAAGCTTGTACGTCGGGTCGGTTTTTTTGAATGAACACCTCGCGATTTGCGCTGTGAAACTGATACGGGATCGCGACCGGCAAATGACAGCTTTCCATTGATTTCGTATCCTTTTGCGGTGCTTCGCGGTATACGTAAAAATGTTTTGAAAAAACCTACTTTAACAGGTTGAAGTTCATCGAGAAGCACGGCGATACTGTCTTTTCATCGCGTTTTTTTAAAGGGATCACTTGGAAATTTAGCGAAGGCTCATTAGGCGCGGCTCAATGGACTCGATACAGAAAGACGATCGTAAATGAAAAAATATGGCGGAAATGTGTTTTCATTTGCTAGAAATCGATTCTGAAAGTTCGCCTGATGTGTGCGCGGTTTCTATTCAGAGCACAGTAGCGAACAGTACTTTTTTTATGTGAAGAGCGTACGCAAAAAGATACGTTTTCCGATATGAGGCTCGCTTGCAATTTAAGAAAATCACTCGGTGAATAAGTAGTCCCACTTTGCTTCTAATTTATTTTACAAGGTCTACATATCGATTTCTTGCATATGATACACGGTTTAAATATAATTCCTATGCTCCAATGTGTTGAAAGTTCATAAACAGTTTACCGATAACGTTGCGACAGGCAACTCGTGCGAGCAAACGATACCGAAATTGAAAGCCCGACAGAGTTCGACCTACCAGGCAATACGTACAGGGGATAGAGAACATAATCTCGGTTGAGTAGGTCAATTTGCCAGGTATGTACGCTAAGTACATCCAATCACGGCAAAGAGGCATTTCCTTGTTTAAATCATTTCGAACACGAGGATTTTGTTGTTAACCAAATCAATGGGCTGCGAGAAATTTGAAGAATTGATACTCCGTTCCGATATCGGCGTGAACGGAGGGAGAATTCGAATTTCGGTATTCGTCCGAATGAATTATACCGGCGTTAGCTCATAATTCTCAGCGGTGGCGCGTGCGAGCGTGCACGAAACGTGTATTCATCGCGCGAAAAGCAGAAGTTATTACATCAGTGTCCCGCGTGAGCGAAATTTTCCTGCAAATATTTCACAAAGCGAAGGTTATAAAGTAGATTTCATCAAACTTTCCCGGATAGTTGTTAAGCTTGAGGCTTGTGCCGGTAATACGAGCGCCGGTAACGTCATTTGTTTCCACCTTGTGTCGTCAAAATATTGCACCCTCTTTACATATTTTCCATGCGCCGTCCTACTGTTCGACGATCCCATAATCGCGTCTAACGCTATCTGATCGCACGTGACGCGCGGAAAATTAAGATCACCGGCTGATTTTTCAACCTGTCGCCCATAATAATCCCTCGCATTTTATTCGAACATTCTTCAACGCGTTTGGACATTAATCCTTGTTCCACGGCCAGAAAGCACGGCAATGCTAATGAGCCTTTGAATAGTACAAAAACAAGACCGCATTGATATTAATACTTGCTGTAAATCACTCCAAAATATCAAACATAACAGTGACACATATTTTTACATCAATCTTACTGCAATTTCAAACGATCAAAATTATTGACGTTACTACTATTTGCTCTACTACTTTTGCAGTGAACTGAAATTATAAATTTTAGAACAAGTTATTTCAGACTCCTTAGTTATTAATTTATGAGGACTAAATATTAGAAGTGAAAATAAACTTGAAGCATCTACAATTTTACCGTAGCCTTGAGGGTAGCTTCTGATCTAGGTAGATGATCGAATGATTATCATTTTTGTATTAACCCTCTCCTCAAGACTGGCTCGCCATCATATTTCTCATAATTCAGATAAATTGGTTGAATATTATCATTTATTTACTGACAGATGTATTACATACTCCACCCTGTTTTAATATATTTTGAGCACCCTTAAAAGGTAAAAGAAATTGAGTGTAAAGGATTAAATTCCTTGTCCTAAATCAGAATCTCCCCTGAGAGTCTCTGTTACCTTTCCAGTAATCGCTTCGATTATCAGCCAATTATTAATTGCAGCCCTCTAAAAAGTATGGTAGATTTCGTACCTCGATTTCGTACCCGTTGCACGCCCTGCCACACTTTCTGCCCGTGACACACAGTGCCGTACGTCGTGACCGACAAGGGCTACCCTTACGACTACACATATATCCGTCTGCAGCAATGTTGGTGAACTTCGTAGCGGACACACACGCACCCGCGCATACGTGTGTACGAAAATCCTGGTGTGTCGAGAGGACTTTACGTGTGCGCGGACCCTGTTCGTGGACCCTCTGCGCGTTTCCACCATCACAGGAGGTGGATCGGAAGCGCGCATGCTCCCACGGCCGACAATCTCCCCAGTCAGGGTAAATCTGCCACCGAATCAAGACGTGGTGCGTGTCGACGCGTCCTTCTGTACGATGCCGTGTACACAAAGTCCAAATTCTTAAGAAAATCTCGCCACCGTTTATACGAGTTAAACTCCGTTGGAAATGAGGGGGGACTAAAGATCTTTCGTACGTTCATTCGGGTTTCGAGTTCAGTGTAAATCGTGCGGCCAGGAGTATAGATCAACGGATAAACCGACGTTTCAGTGAGACACGTGAAAACGTTGACTGCCAGGATGCGTTAGACTGAACGTTTTAAAAAAGTGATGTTGAGTAACGTTTAGAGATGATGCGCTTAAAACGGACTTAAAGACGCTTTTGTTTGTGGTCTAAAAGTGCGCTGAACGTTCGAGCGGTACCAGTGATAATTGCAACCAGAGACCCAGAAGAGTGCAACGAACCCGAAAGATCCAAGGATCGTTGAAGGTTCCGATGCACCCCGCGCCCAGCGCAAAAGGTGACATCGCAACGTCGGGTCCTGCGAGTGTGTGCGCGAGTTTTTCGCTCGTTTACGCCCAAGGAGTGCAAACGTCCTATGGAAGATCCACAGGACAATAGACGGAAGGATAATCGATCCTCTAACGCGATCGAAGCGTCGCGCTGTTTCGGATCGGACTAACGTCGAACCTGCCTCGGATCTTTCGTTGTCGTTGTTATCGTTTAGCAACGGACACGTTTCCGACGATGATAATATTGCTTTAGAAATTTCCCGCGTTCGTGATTTGCGTGACAGTGAGTGGACGGTGCGCTGTCACCCGGCGAAGAGGATGTGAATCGGTATCAGAGTGAACGACATCGAAAAAACAGTTGCGGACATGGCTTTGAGGTGGCAGGCGAGGCTGTCCATTGCTGCCATACTCTTCATGTGCACCGAAGGTAAATTTCACGCTCTGTTCAAAACGTTATCTGCTCGAAAGTGAAGGATCCATTCGTTCGGAAAAAATTGACAAGTATCCATACGCTCTCATTGATGCAATAGAAATTTTAGTTTCTATAGCATTCTACTTTCCGCAGGATTTTATTTTAGATAGGTTTATTTAACGTTGTACGAAATTTAGTAAATACGTTTTGTAAAAATTGTTTGTTTCGAACGGTTGACCCAGTTTTCCTTTCACGTACAGAATTTATTTATGGATCAAAAAATTGGTTGATCCATGCGGAGCAAAAGTCATTCGATCGAGAACGCGGGTAGCTATCGAGCGGCAAACTGGTGCCACTAATGGAATTACCGGCGGCATGCATGCGTGCGTGCGACGCGAATTTATAGGATGCATTATTCATGGGTCAGTCTAGGTGCCTCGGAATGATACACACGGTCACAAAGAAAGCTTTCTTTTTGCCTCAAAACGACACTTCCTTTGTTCTCTTAATATCGATCTAGTAAACTAATTACGGGACGCGGCGTGGCGTGCTGTTACGAATGTACACGAAACTCGTCCGCTCCTCTCCAAAATCAAACGCCTACTCTTAGAACACTCGGTTCACACCTCGTTTGCGCCATTGTCGTTCTGGACGAACAACTTTGGCAATTCCCTTCGACACGCAACTTTGTATCCAAATTTTCTACGGTAAATTGAACGTCCATGAGAGAAGGAAGTTTCATGTAAATGCCTCTTCGTTTCATGGACGACGAAGAAAAGTCCTTAATTATTTCGGAAGACAGGAGGGGAAGAAAAGTAATAATTTATAAACTTACTGTTTGCTACAGTTGTTTAACGATCTCGATTCAGACAAGGCTTGCTATTAATGCGTGAAAATGGTTGAAATTAAACCGTGCAGTTATCAACGACTCCTCCGAGACTACAGAGCTTCCGAACAGTCGCAAGTTTGTTTTAGCCCTTCTTACCTCGTATCCCAGGAACTGTTTACACGTAGGAAATTGCGTTCGTAGAAATAGCTTTCAATTCCGTGAGTCTCCGGATTACAATCGTGAAGATAATTCCTTTAAAACAGGGAAAATGTACCCATTTCGATTTATTTTTGTGACGACGATTATCTTTCTCTCGCCATTTACTTTTTCCCGGTTTCGAGATTTTTAGTTTGCAACGGCATTGTGCGTTCTGGAAAATATACAGTTACGGAATTATCGTTCAAGCATAAACGCGGCAGATTTTTTTTCCAGGAAAAATTCCGTTGTGAAGAGGATACCGTTCTAAAATCCGCGCTAATGTCTGTCGCAAAATGTTATACTCTGTATCGCTGCTTTTACGCTCGACACGCTAACCGATTCCAAACAATGCGCAAAAAAAAACATTTTTTCTGAAACAAAGACTACAAAAATCTATTGTAGCAACGGTTCACGGTAACGAGATGAAAGGAAAAAATTGTACGTTCGCGAAATAAAGCGAAACGATGAACTCGGAGAAAGCAAAATGCTCTAGTGAAATTGGCAAACATGGAAGTCTGATAGCTGCCACGGTTAATAGAATTTCCCCATTGTAGAATCGATTACGCTTTATTTTCCGTTACAATAGACTTTTTCAATTGTGCAACTTTGCGATGTCGCGAAATGAAAAAGTAGATGTAGTACAGCGTTCGAAATCATCGATAGTTAGTACGACTCCGATCAGAAAAAGCTTCGGCGGGAGATAAAAAGGCGCAGCAACATCCTGAACAATCGTGTGACGGTACGTACGTGTATCAGCCAGTTTCTTTTCATCCGAACGCAGAACTTTTCGAAATCTTATCTTATTGCCTCGCTTCGTCGCCGCCGAGTTTCGTAGCTTTGGCTGCACGTTATCGAACTCGGTCGGCGGAGGAACCATTGTGATTCCTTTATCTGGATGATAAATTGAGCCATCCCGTCCTACGAGTTTTGCGGCGATCGCGACTCGATCGTTGTAATCGCTGAATGTCCCTTTGTACGACGACAAAAAAATTCAGTTCGAATGCGTCGGCCGCCATTGTAAATTCATGGACACTTTCGCTGGAAGGGTTCATGACGATCCTATTCAAGACCGTACAATACCTCGATCTGACGGATAAAACAACGAACTATAAATGTACTCTACACGCTTTCACGAGGTTTGTTATTGCAAAGTCCTCGTAGAGTAGGAAACATTAAGTTCCGGCGTGTTTTAATTACGAGCCTAAGCGCGAGCACCCTCGACCCGCTTTAAACGCAGAAGTCTGCGCCTCCGTTGCATTTCCGCGTCACGTGACGATAAACTTACAAAATCATGACCGTTCCATTATTTCGCGACGTGGCCCACTTGTCCCATAATGGATACGTCGTGTCGTCGACTTGTTCTCGCGCCGGACAAGAAAAGGATCGACCTTTGAGCGCAGGATTTACGCGAGATAGGAGTAAAAAAAGTAGGTAAAGGACGGTGGGAAGAAAAGAAGGCTTCGAGCTTTAATTAATTGCTTTTATCTTTCGCTGCTCCCTCTTCCTTTTCCCTTTTATTTTGATCGTACGGGACGATCAAGGAAATGCCGGCTCGTTTCGAAGGAACGATGAAATCTGATCCGAGATCGTTAACGAGTCTAATAGGGCCAATACGCTGCAGCTTATGCGCCGATAAATTGCAAAGACGTGGGACTTTCCATCGATTTAAAAAGCTTTTTTACTAAAAAAGGTTTCTTGATCTACCCTAAGGCTGTATCGCGGTAATTCATTACCAGAGTTTTCCTTGCCATTCATCCAGCTCTAATAATTGTTTTAATACGATTACTCGGATTTGTTACTCGACTTAACTGGTCTTTTCATTCGCGAAGAAAATACCGTAAAAGCTGATCCTGTAAAAGTATGCTGTTATTACGCTTAGCGACGCGTATTGACACGAATTCGCGAGAGAAAGCTTGATCGTTAAAGCGTCAAAGTGTTAACTACAGTTGAAAATTGGAACTGCGAGATGCATTCACCGTGATTTTCTTTTCCTTCGTTTCTCTTAAAAATTAACAATATCATTTTGATGAAGAATGTTTATTTGCCGTCATAATGGCTCAGCCAGCGGAACTAAAGAACGTCAACGAAACAAATACCGTGGCCAGAAATTGTACGGTGATTGTTCGGCGGAGTAAATTACAAAAGCGTCGAGTCGTTGTTATGCAAATGTTCCAGTTGATATTTTTACCTTTCCCCTAGCAAAACGGATGAATTTAATTCACGTTTCCTACGAATATTTACCTTTTTTATTATCGCGTGAATGTAATTCGCATGCCGGGAGAAATACATTTTCGCGTTACGAGTTTGCGACCCGTGATCTCATCGAACAATAAAGTATTACAGGTTATGTTTCTTTCCGGATCGTTCGTTTCGACTATTTCACTCGACTCCTTCGTTGTAAAAGTCGACTACATGAAAATCTGCAATTGCGTGCCAATTTTTCATTCATCTTTGATACAAGCTCATCTCGTTAACATTTATTGAACGTAACCGTTTTAACGATGTAAGCGACCTAGTTGCAACGATTCTGACTAATATTATCTCCGGGGGATGCTCCCCGTAACGTTACAATCCTGTCCTCCTCCCCCGAGATGTTCTTCATATTTGAACATGAATTTTTACTTCGAGATGATGCTGGTAAACACTTCTTCCAACTAGTACAAACTTCTATCGTGCTTATCAAAGTTAGGACCTTGGCAGTCTCTAAAAGTTGCAGCTCGTTCATTGAGTTACATTGTTTGATATTTTCTATTTGTAGTAAATAAAAGGCTTGTTAACATACGTTACTTCTATCGTGCTTATCAAAGTTAGGACCTTGGCAGTCTCTAAAAGTTGCAGCTCGTTCATTGAGTTACATTGTTTGATATTTTCTATTTGTAGTAAGTAAAGAGCTTGTTAACATACGTCACACCATATGTGGCCACACATGGGTATGTCTATGAGGCTGTAGTATTTGGTACTGCTTGGCAGTCTCTAAAAGTTGCAGCTTATTAGTTGAGTTACACTATTTGATATTTTCTATTTGTAGTGAATGAGAATCCTGTTACATACGTCACACCATATGTGATCACATATGCATGTATATGTATATGAGACTGTAATATTTGGTGCTGCTTGGCAGTCTCTAAAAGTTGCAGCTTATTAGTTGAGTTACATTGTTTGATATTTTCTATTTGTAGTAAGTAAAGAGCTTGTTAACATACATCACACCATATGTGGCCACACATGGGTATGTCTATGAGGCTGTAGTATTTAGTACTCCTTAGGAGTCTCTAAAAATTGCAGCTTATTAATTGAATTACACTATTTGATATTTTCTATTTGTAGTGAATGAGAATCCTGTTACATACGTCACACCATATGTGATCACATATGGATGTATATGTACATGAGACTGTAATATTTGGTACTGCTTGGCAGTCTCTAAAAGTTGCAGCTTATTAGTTGAGTTACACTGTTTGATATTTTCTATTTGCAGTAAGAAACCTGTTAACATATGTCACACCATATGTGACCACACATGGGTATGTCTATGAGGCTGTAGTATTTAGTACTCCTTAGGAGTCTCTAAAAATTGCAGCTTATTAATTGAATTACACTATTTGATATTTTCTATTTGTAGTGAATGAGAATCCTGTTACATACGTCACACCATATGTGATCACATATGCATGTATATGTATATGAGACTGTAATATTTGGTGCTGCTTGGCAGTCTCTAAAAGTTGCAGCTTATTAGTTGAATTACACTGTTTGATATTTTCTATTTGTAGTAAGTAAAAAGCCTGTTAACATACGTCACACCATATGTGATCACATATGAATATATATGCATATGAGACTGTAATATTTGGTACTCCTTGGCAGTCTCTAAAAATTGCAGCTTCGAGATGACGCTGGTAAACACTTTTTCCAACTAGTACAAACTTCTATCGTGCTTATCAAAGTTAGTACCGACCCCATATTTTTGTTCGCAATGATGTACCGC